GTGCGCTCTCTCTCACTTCCTCTCTCTGAAATCAATAAAGACATATTGAAAAAATAATTAAAATAAAAAATAAATTAAAATCATTGGAATATAGAAATTCACCAGCCCAGCATTTATAAGAAGAGAGAGGATGGACTGGTTTAATCTTAATGGGTATGGTTCTTTGTTGAGTGTTAGAAGTGTGTATTAAGTATTTAATTAGGTATTCATTGTATTTTTGTTTTAAACGTAGTGGGTATGGTTTTAATAGTTTCAAGACCTAGGGGCAATGTGAAATTAATCAACCCTTTATTTTACCACTTGACTAACAGCTTCCTTGAACAGAGATTAATGAAATCTACAAAAGCCCCTTTCTCATCACAAGTGAATTAACTTTAATCCTCACCGGAGGATATGTTTTCATTGATTTTTGAGAGAGAGAGATTTGGAATCCTGTGCCATGGTGCTATCCACCTCATCTTCACAAGTAGCTTGATTCTTATCTTTAAAATATTGAGAATTTTTGCCCAGCCAGCATGGCTCAGTGATTGAGCATCGACCTAGGATCCTGTTGGCGCACATGCCCAGGTTTCAGGCTCTATCCCCAGTAGGAAGCGTGCAGGAGGCAGCCAATCAATGAAGGAACACTTTCAAACTCTTTTTATGAGGCCAGCATTAGCCTAATTCCAAAACCAGATAAAGGCACTGCAAAGAAAGAGAATTACAGGCCAATATCCCTGATGAATATAGATGCTAAAATCCTCAACAAAATATTAGCAAGGGTGTGAGATCCAATTTAGATGTTTTGAAAAGATAGTTCTAGCTGCTATGTGGAAAACAGACTGCAGGGATACGAGTTTATGCTACTTGTTGGAAGTAGATTGTGGATTGACAGTGTTGGTGTTAACAAATTAAGGAGAGAGAGTATAAATGTATTTGTTAAGAACATGAATTTAAGTCCTGGCCCATGTGGCTTGGTTGGTTGGGCATCATCCCATGCACTGAAAGGTTGCCAGGTTTGATTCCAGGTCAGGGCACATGCGTGGTGTGTGGACTCATGCAAGAGGCAGCCAATCAATGTTTCGATCTCCCTCTCCCTCCCTCTCTTTCTAAAAATATTAAAAAGAACAGGAATTTTAGAGTCAGCCACCCTCAGTACCCAATTGTTTATTTAATAGTTGTTTGGCTTTAGGGCAAGCCACTTAACCTTTTTTTTTTTTTTTTTTTAATATGTGTTTATTGATTTCAGAGAGAGGAAGAAAGAGGGAGAGAGAGATAGACACATCAATGATGAGAATCATCAATTGGCTGCCTCCTGCACACTGCCCCACTGGAAATTGAGCCTGCAACCCAGGCATGTGCCCTGCCCAGGAATCGAACCCTGACCTCTAGGTTCATAGGTTGACGCTCAAGCACTGAGCCACACCGTCCAGGCATGGAAAAGCTTTATAGTGGAAAAAAGGGAAGTCCACTGACATGGGGAAATTGTAGGCAGGGTAACCAGAAGTGGGGCATCCTATGTGATTGATTAGGGGTACATATTTGGCTTTCTCTTGTACGTCCTAAGTTGACAGTGGGGGGAAAAAATAGAAAAGCTGTCAGTTATTAAACAAGTCTTGTCCATTTGGGGCCCATTGTAACATAAGTTACTGTTTAGCTTCCTGATCACTAGAGATGGCAGTCTGACTTCCTACAAGTCTAACTTAGGAAGCTAGCTTTCTGAGCTGTTTATTATAGATAAAGGGTTGGTTTCCTGGCAAGTTGCTACAGGTTGTGGGTCAAAGTCCTATTTTTATATATGGTCTGGCTATTGTCCCTTAGCATGTTCTTTTTCTCATTACTTTGCATCATTCACAATTATTTTGAGTTAAAGTGTTTATCATAGGCCACAAGGTTAATGTCTTTGTGAAGTGCTTAATTTGGCATGATTTCCCACCAGAAGAATTTAGCAAGCTGAAAATTTTATTTTTTCTACCACTAACATATTATTTCTTTTCACTTTCAGTGATTACCAATGACATAGGAACTGAACTTCCAAAAATTTATTGAACAATCTTACTTACTAGAAGAAATTAAATATGACTTCAATGAAAAAGCTGAGTTGAGACACATCAAGACACAAACGCCTTCTGTCTTTAACTATTATAAAAATGCCCCTGAGAGGAACTGCAAGCACAACCAGGCCCTTGGCCATTTGCTTGAAAAATAGTTACGAGTTTTTGAGAAAGTGTGCAAATTATAAAAAATATACACCTCACCAGAAGCTGACAAAGAATCAAGAAGCTTCATTTTTATGAGTGAGAGAGCATTAACAAATCATCATTCTGCTCTTCTTGTCTTTTAAGACCATGGGGTCTTTCAAGCTGGTCAGTGGAGTCAACAGGCAATAATGCATCATGGTCTACAACATGGAAGTCAGATACCATGTATTCAAATGGCATTGCAAGCACATTATGATGTAATCGTGCCAGACCCCAATGACAATTTTGTGGACCTAAAGATGGCAAAAGAGTGGAAAGGCCTTTTAACACAAAATATTGAATCCTCTTGCCTAAAAATGGTTCAAATTGAGAGCTTTTTATCTCTCCAGCAGCCTCTCCAATGCATTCCAAAAAGATGCAGCAACACCCCTGAAGAACACATGGCTTACATTTGGGATAACTTCATTACAAAGAGGATGTTGCCTTCATTGTACATGGTTATGGAGGCTTGGTTTTTACGGACTTGTTTGTTGATAGGAAGTGGGAAGTGATGGGCAAAGTATATGCTGTTGCACTTACTGATTCTCGACGTCACGTAGGACACCAGCTGGGAAGTGATGTACCGTTATCAGCATGGATAAAGCACCACTGCCAGGAATGGGTGACAAGTACTAAGCCTTTGGATAGATCTGCAACTACTGTTTTGAAAAAAGTTTCCAATGGTTTCTGCTGGTACAGAAGAACACGACTTAGCCATTTCCTCTAGCCTTCAGTCAATTTTTAAATACTCTAAAAAAGCTCTGAAAGCCAAAACAACTATTAATTTCCATCATGTGCCAACAGTATATAGAAGCTCCACAAAAATAAAGCAAAGTGCTTAAGTTACTTTTTTGTTATGTATGATTTTTTTTTTTTGGTCTCACTGAAACTTTGTTAACGTAGGTACTTGGAGAAAAGGAATACTTCTACCTCACACAGTATTATATTCTGGATTAAGGTTTGATTTGTTAGTTTTTCTAAAGTGAATATGTTCTCTTTTGTAGCCTATTGATGAACCAGGAAGCCAGTCCATACTATTTTTAATATTTTACAGTATAAAGTTAGAGGATCTTTCTTTTGAAAAGTGACTTATTTATGGTTTAATACCATGGCACCAAAACTGTAGTCAATAGAAATTAAATATTAAGTCAAGCTTTGGTTTCTATGTTATTAATGCCATATTAAAATTACAAGTAAACATAAAAATTAAATATCGTAAGCAAATTCCATTCTTTGTATGTTTATGTTCTTTTGTTTAAATTTTTTGGTTGTATGTTTACTCATACCTTCAGCTAATATTTGAGTGTCTACTGTATGCCAGTCAATACTAGGTGTTGGGGACACTGGCAAACAAGGCCAACATTGCCTTTATCTTTATGGAGTTTACAATGAACAACAAATTGCAAGTGTGAAGAGTGTTAAGAAATAAAGGGTGCTGTGGAACATCCAGCATGAGAAATAACAAGTCTTGGGGTTCAAAGAATACTTCCCTGAAAAAAGAAAAAGAAAAAAATTAATAAAGCAAAAAATAAAGAATACTTCCCTGAGAAAGTGGTGCTTAGTTTGAAGAATAGTAGTAGTTAGCTGAGAAATCACAGGCAAAGCTGTGATGTGCAAAGATCCTGAGGCAGGAGGGACAAATCAAGTCAGCTAATGCTAAAAAATTATGAGGGAGTAGAGTTAAAGAAATTATTCATTGATATTTTTTAAAGACAATAATGAAGACTATATTTAAGAGGCATTACTGCAATGGGGGTTTTGCAGTAAGGGATAGTGATCAGGATCAACTCCAAACACAAGGAGGAATGGGGAGGATTTATAGACAAAGAGCAGAGTGAGGGTCAATGAATGTAAAATTACTAAGTGATAACATCAGGGGGCATGAGAGATTGGTAGACCAAATGAGATTCTTGCTGAAGGAAAGCCAGAGTGATATGATGTTGTGAGTGTAGGATGAGGTATTTTATCAGACATAAAGGATGATCTGATAACCAGGGTGGGAGATTTTCACTAAACTGGCTCAGCAGAATTCTTGCGCAAAGGCCACTGATTTATATTAGCGCCTTAACTTCATTTTCACATTAGATTTTCTAAATGAGCTAAGTGGTGCAAGAGATATTTAGTGTTGCCTATCAGGTTCCAAGCATTGTACCAGGTACTGGTGATAAGCTGGTCAAAAAAGTTAAAGTCCAAGCATCAAGGAGTTCACAGCTCAGTGAGACTTGAGAAAACATTAATTTTAGTATTATGGAAATAAATGTGCATAAGTGACTACGCAGAGAGTAGGTTAAGAGGATCAGCCCCGGTGGGGTGTCTCAGCTGGTTAGAGCGTCCACCCGGTCCCCAAGGTTGCAGTCCATCCCCGGTCAGGGCACATTCAAGAAGCCACCCAAGAACGCATGACTACAGGAACAACAAACCCATGTTTCTCTCTTTTCCTCTCTCCCGTCCTCTTTCTAAAATCAATAAATAAAAGAAATTTTAAAAAGACGATTAGGAGGAGTTTTAAACAATGAGGGAACAAAAAAAAGAAAAACAAGAAAATTTTAAAAACAACGGGAGAACAGGGCAACAACAACAAAAACACCTAAACAGCCCATCTCCGTTAAGACGGCGCAGGGCGAGCAACCAGCCGGCTCTCCCACGGCGCCGCTTTCCAGGCCGGAAAACTTTCCCTTGCGTCTGACGTCATACGACGGCGCGGAGAGGAGAGGGCGGGATTTCCGGTCAAGGGTCAAGGGTCAGTGACGGTTTTAGCGTCAACTGCTCAGCGAGCTGCGGGTCCAGTGTGGCGGGCACCCCTCAGAGGCAGTGCTTCCCGGCAGCCCTGCGTCCTCCCCGGGTCCCTGTGGCTTCGCCGGCGGGATCCACTGTCTGCGTTCCTGGTACGGGCATTTCTTGTTGTCTCCCAGTTGTATTGAGGCGGGAGGACGCGGGAGACGGTCTTAGATGAGACTTAGTGGAGCATGTGCCCTCAGAAGGCCTACAGTTTAGAGGAAGCCCACAGTGATACATCACTGTTGCTCTTGATCGATATGTATATATAATTTGAATTTTTGGAGACTTTAGCTGTACCGTCAACTTTGGGAAAAGTGTCCGAGTTGTACCTTGTTGGGTTGGCATTGTACAGAAATTAACAGCCATGTTGGTCTGGAAACGTTAAACATAATTTTACCCACTTGTACAGGGTAAATATGCACTGTAGTAAATATGTAAAGTCTTATCTACATGGGTTTGGATACAGAAACTAATAAAGTATTCTCTAAATAATAAAAAAAGAAGCCCAGTGTCTTAAGAAACTATAAATAGTACATTACCTGGAACAAGAGCAGTGTTTCCCAAAATAATACCCTTGTTCGCATTTTTATATTTTGGGTTTTCATTACAATGATATCCTAAAAATTTTTACCAATTACAGAGAAAAAACTTTTTTCTGAAATCAGTGTTTCTCATACTGGGGATGAAGACTCCAAGTTAAATATTCCAGGGAGTCTAAAATGAGTTGTTTTTAGGGCAATGTTCAGAGCAAAACAGGAGGAAGGCAGATGAAGGCCTTTTAGAAGCATTGTTTTGCTAAGAATGAATTCAGTTGCAGCTCGATAGTAGCTTCTGTATAAAAACTACAGACTTTTGTATAGCTGATAAGATTCTTTGTAGAGAAAATACTCAAAAATTCAGGTTGTAGCTACTACATACAGTTAAGATTTTAAGACTTCTGATGTTAAATGTTTCTAAATATTTAATGGTTTCTTTAATTTCTTGACTTGTGTGTGGTAGCACAGCAAACTCAGGAATTAGTATCAATAGTAAATTTAGGTTTTGCTAGATTGTTGCATTTTGTTTTTTAAAAAAATTTGTAATAAAATTCTATTTTTAAAAAGTTAAAAAAAAAAAAGTTGTCTGAGCATATTTTAAATGTGAGAAGCACTGACCCAGGGTATTTATTCGGAAAATACTTGAGGAGCATTTGAGATCTTGCTCCCTGCATATGTGGTCAGTTTGGCTCAAATAAACTCTTATAAAAATTCTCTACAAGTAAAAAGTAAAATAAAAGAGCCCTAGCTGGTGTGGCTCAATTGGTTGGAGCATTCATTGTCCAGTACACCAAAAGATGGTGGGTTCAATTCCCCATCGGGAGGCAATCGATTGATGTTTCTCTCTCTAAAATTGGTTTTTAAAAATTATAAAGGAAAAATACTTCAGTGATTTTTGAGAGCCATATATTGCCAAGCATTGAGTTCAGTGTTAATATAAACACAGTCCTTGCCCTGATAGTTTACCATCTAGTAGAGCAAATAAGTAAAGAGGCAATTAGAATATAGTGTTACAAGTACTGTGATGGAGAGGTGCAAGGTACTATAAAAGCTAACAGGAATACTTAATCTAAAGTTTGAGGTGAGTTGCTAGACAGTTGCAGCTGAAGAGGTGAGCAGAGGATGGTTTTGTGAAAAACTTTATAAGCCGCATTTATAACTTTGGACTTTAACCTGGCTGCAGGGGGCTTAGAAATACTCCTTGGGGACAATATGAGTTCATTGATCAGATTTGCACTTGCTCCAAATGGCTTAAAGATAAGGGAGAGCAAATCTGAGGTCTAGGAGATGCAGTTAAGAAAATGGGGTTGAAGTGAAGTGAATGGATTCAAGAAGTATTTAGAAAGTAAAGTGAATTTAACTCAAATGGATTTGGTATGCTGTGTATGAGAGAAGACAATAATGAAATGATTCCCAGTTTCTGGCTTCAGCAAATAAATGGATAGCAGTGTCTTTCCCTAAAACAAGACAGAGGAGAAGCAGATTGGGAAGGCAAGGGAGAGAGATTATTTCAATATGTTGCATTTGAGGTGTCTTGTGATTCATGGTGATTGAAGCCACTGAGGTAAATCCAACCTCTTAGGGAAAGTATTTAGATTGAAAAAAGGGCTAAGGACAGAACTGAGAGGTACATCCACCTTTAAAGGGGGTGAGGAGATGGGACATCTGAGCATCAGTGCACAGGTCAAAGAAGCAGGAGACCCAGGAGCATGCAGAGTCATTAGAAAAAGAAATTTTTCTTTTCAGGTATTTTAGTTGCATTTTGTAAAAAGTTGAATTCCTTCCCTCCTACCCCCCCCCACCTTCAAATCCAGCACTAGTTTCACATCTTTAAGTGTCTTCATTGTTTTGTGGACATCCAAACCTTTTGTATAAAACTGTGGCGCTCATTTATATTTGCCCTAATTTTGGACATTTTATTTGGCAATAACATTATTTACTGCAAAATAAAGTCTGAATTGGAGAAAGGTTTGTGTTTTAAAGTCAGTAGATCTCTCTATATTTCTGTTTTGAAAACACATAAGAGCATTGGTACAACAGCTCCTAAGTGCTTTTTTACCAGTTGCCATATTTTATAACTTCTCAGCCCTTTTTCTACCTATGTTGCTTATGTTATGGATCTTATGTTTGGGTCTGTACTACCTGGGTTAGTACAGAATTGAGAAAAATATAGCATCATGATCTTAGCCACATCAGTGGTATATAACTCTTATCTAGTAACATTGATTTTCTGGGCTCCTAGAATCATATCTAAAAAGGATCTTCAAGGTATCCTTTTGCCTAAAGCAATAGTGTCTAAAATAAGAACCCAAATAAGTTTTACACCTTTGCCTAGTGAGGGATCATAGGCTCTAGGCCACTGGAGTCTAGGAAAAAATAGTACAGCAAATAAAGTTGTATTAAGATTCCACTTTGTGTTTAAGAAATTGATTGCATTTTGATGTCTCAAATTTATACTTGCACAGTTAGTTGAGAGGTCTTTAAAATCTTTAACTTTTCATTACATTTTTCTTCTTTTTTAGGGATTTTCTTACATGGCTGTTTTCCTCAAAATGAGTATTGGTATCACCTTCATAAGACCTTTTGCCAAAGTTTTGGTGCCATTTACCCTTACTAAGAAGAGAAGGGTTTTATATTCCATGATTCTGCAGAGATACATGTCTTCCAAAATACCAGCTGTGACCTCTCCTAAAAAGGAAAGTACATCACCTGAACAGCTGGAATTGGATGGGTGGAAAATTACAATGAAATCTAGTGTGCAAGAAGGTGTTCCAACAGTCTCAAGTACCAAGGATGAAGATCCTGTAGCTGCAACTAGGGAGTTAATTGAGATGTGGAGGTTGCTTGGCAGAGAAGTACCAGAACACATCAGTGAAGAAGAGCTCAAAACCATTATGGAATGTGCTTCTAAATCATCGAAAAAAAAATATTTAAAATATTTATATGTAAAGGAAAAAATGAAGAAAGCTAGGCAAATAAAAAAGGAAATGAAAGCAGCAGCAAGGGAAAAAGCAAAAAAAGACCAGCTGCTAGAAACCTCTAAGGAAGATAAACAGCAAGACTTTCTATTTCTACGACTTTGGGATCGGAATATGGACATAGCAATGGGCTGGAAGGGTGCCCAGGCCATGCAGTTTGGACAGCCTTTGGTTTTTGACATGGCTTATGATAATTATATGAAACCAAGAGAACTGCAGAGTGCTGTTTCCCAACTTTTAGAAAGTGAAGGATGGAACAGAAGAAATGTTGATCCTTTCCATATTCATTTCTGCAATCTTAAAATAGATAGCCCTTTTCATAGAGAGTTAGTTAAACGTTATGGAGAAAAATGGGACAAATTGCTTTTAACAGCAACAGAAAAATCTCACATAGATTTATTTCCAAAAGACAGTATTATATATTTAACTGCCGATTCTCCCAATGTTATGACTACTTTCAAGCATGACAAAATTTATATAGTGGGATCTTTTGTTGATAAGAATATGCAGCCAGGCACATCCCTAGCCAAGGCAAAACGGCTGAATCTGGCAACAGAATGCCTTCCATTAGATAAATACTTACAGTGGGACATTGGTACAAAAAATCTCACCTTAGATCAAATGATGCGTATTTTGTTATGTCTGAAAAACACTGGTAGTTGGGAAGAGGCTCTGAAGTTTGTTCCTAACAGAAAACATTCTGGTTATCTGGAGGTTTCTCAGCATTCTCGAGAGTCTGTCAACAGAATGAAGAAGTCAAAGACAATTAATTCATTTCCAAAAGGCTCTGTTTATGCGCCCAGAAAACGTGACTTGAAAGAGAATATTTGATAGCTTGAAAAGAAAATGGATTGGAAATAAAGTTCTGTTAGTCTCTTCCTGAATGGAATTCACTTGCTCTTCAAAGTTTTGTCTTTCTAAACAAGTATCTTTCCCCAATTAATTAAATATCTGCAAAACTTCAGAAATGTATTTTGTTTACTATAAAAAAATCTTAGAAAGTAAAAAGTTGTCCAAGTTTGCTGAGCCCAGTAAAACAGTTGAATCATTGGTGTGGGTTTTTTACGAATACCTGGTCTCGGACTCCATTTTCCTTAAATGTTCTTTTAGCCATGTCAGCAACTACCCTTTCATCAAAAATTGATAGAAAGATTTCTAAACTTCAGGTGGTCATTCACTTATTAAAGGAACATTTGGTACAGTGCTGGGCATGTCATAGGCATTGAGGTATATTGTTTAACTGAATATTGAACAAAAGGTTAAGCGATCCCTTGACATGTCATGGGATTTGGCCGTATAATGAAAACTGGGTTTGGGGGGATAAAACTCATTTCTTTTCCTCTGGAAAAAAAAGGGTTTATTTAACGTACAGCACTTTCCTACTGTAGTGTATATGGCTTTCCTTTTCTAGGAAATAATTCCTTTTCTCCAGCCATATGATTTGAATGGAAGTTGCCCTCTTTTTACAGAACTGGCTTCCCTGGCCACAGCTTGAGATACATTGAAGTTAAAATAGCTTAGAGGTTAAAAAATAAAAGATTAAGATTGCCTGGCAGGACCACCACTAGAGTGAGGCAAACAAGGCTCTTGGTGACACCTCACTAGTCTCCCAGCCCTGCTCCCATGGTTCTAGCTCAGCTCCACTCTCACAGGCTCCAACATTATTTAAATTGCTTAATCTCTTGAAATTGTTATCATCTATAAAAAGATTAGAAGTGGTTCTTGACTCATGTAAAACATTTAATATGGTGTCTGGCACATAAGTGCTAAGTAAATTCAGGCTATCCAAAATGGAATGAAATTTCATTGGGATGTATGGAATTTCTAGTAGTATATACAAGTTATTGTCTCCCTTTAAGGAGTACATTCTTATTTCTGTGTAACAATATGCTGTTATTTCAGTAATGCAACATTAGAATTAAAAAGGGAAAAAAGACCCTTTCTTTCCAAATAGCCAAGCAGTAACTGATTTCTAAGACTGCTTTTTTCTTATATATGTAAATTACAATGGCAAGCTCATCCAGTTTCAACTAGACTTTAATTTTACAAATTTTGTAGAATTTGGAACTCAGCAGAACCTCAGATGCTTCAATTTCTCCAAACTAGGTGGTCTAATTTCCCTGGCACTAAGAAGTGGTGCCTTTTCTCTCTATCTCAAACACCCAATAATTCTATAGTGTTCTTTGAAGGCAACTTTTGTTGCCTATGTTCTAATTGTCTTCTTACGTGTTACAGACATGTTTTTATGTAATGCCATTTCAAGTGTTCTTTTGCTTTTTTCAAACAGGCCACCAACTTCCCAGTTTTTAATAATTAACTTTTTTTTAATTTATCCTTATTGTTGAAAGTATTACAGATATCCCCCTTTTTTCCCCCCATTGATCCCCTCTACCTTACACCTCCCCCAGGCCTTCACCACACTATTGTCTGTGTCCATGGGTTATGCATATATGCATGTAAGTTCTTTGATTAATCTCTCCCCACCCACTCCCCCACCCGCACCTTCTGAGATTCATCAATCTGTCCCATGCTTCTATGTCTCTGGATCTATTCCTCAGTCAATTTTATTAATTAGATTCCACATATGAGTGAGATCATGTAAAACTGAATCAGGAAGAATCAGAAAACCTGAATAGGCTAATAACTAATGAAATTGAAGCAGTATAAAAAAAAAACCCTCCCAGCAAACAAAAGCCCTGGTCCAGACAGCTTCACAGGGGAGCTTTCTAATTCTTTAAGTTGTAGGGTTAGATAATGTTGACTTTTTGTCTGAAAGGTCTATCCAGTGAAGTCAGTGGGGTGTTAAAGTCCACGACTATGACTATTGCTGTTGATCTGTCCCTTAAAGTCCTTAAGGTTATTATTGATAGGTCCTTATTTGTTGCCATTTAAATTCTTTATGCCTATGTTTCTCTATTCTTATTACAGCAGTCCCTTTAACATTTCTTGCTTCTATTTCTACTTCTAATTACAGCAGTCCCTTTAACATTTCCTGCAATGCTGGTTTGATGCTGATTAACTCCTCTAGCTTTTTTTTGACAGGGAAGCTCTTTATTTCACCATCTATTTTGAATGATAGCCTTGCTGGATAAAGTAGTCTTGGTTTCAGATTCTTGTTTTGCATTACCTTGAATACTTCATGCCGTTCCCTTCTGGCCTGTAGAGTTTCTGATGAGAAGTCAGATGACAGCCTATGGGAGCTCCTTTGTGGATAACAGATTGCTTTTCTCTTGCTGCCTTTAAGATTCTCTCTGTCTTGAATTTTTGGCATTTTAATTATGATGTGTCTGGGTGTGGGCCTCTTTGGATTCTTCTTGCTTGGGACTCTGTGCCTCCTGAACTTGTGTGATTTTTTTCCTTCATCAGGTTAGGGAAGTTTTCTGCCATTGTTTCTTCAGACAGGTTCTCTAACCCTTGCTTACTTTCAACCTCCTCTGGCACTCCAATGATGGGAATATTGTTACGTTTCATGCTATTCCACAGCTCCCTTAGACTGTCCTCCTGTTTTTTTCTTTTTCTTTTTGGATCTCTGATTGAGTGATTTTTTTTCTACCCTGTCTCCTAATTCACTGATCCTCAGCTACCCCTAATCTGTTTATTCCTTCCAGTGTATTCCTTATTTCTGCTATGTCATTCTTCATTTCCTTCATAGTTTTCATATCTTTTTTCATGCTGTTGAGTATTCTTATGATCAGTATTCTGAACTCTATATGTGATAGATTGCTTATCTGCATTTCATTGAGCTCTTTTTCTGGAGACTCTTGTTCTTTCATTTGGGGCTTGTTTTCTTGTTTCTCCATTTTGGCTGCCTATTTGGGTGTGTTTCTATGTATTACATAGGCCTACTAGGACTCTCAGTCTTTTTGTAGGGTCTCTGGTGCATGCCAATGTCAGATGCTGTTTGTGACTGGTCTTGAGTACCCTGTTTGGAGCTTTCAACAACCCATGGCTTGAGGTCTCCTCTGTTGGGGCCTGGTGTGCTTGAACATGACCAAGATGCCCACCAAAGTCTGCTTTTCCAAGGCCCAGGTCCAGAAGCAGATCACGCAAAGACCCAAAGCACTCTGAAGTCTGCCTCCAGCCTCAGGCTGTAGAAACTCTGAAAGGTGGGGTGGGTGATTGTTATCAGTCTCTTAATGAGCCTCAGGTTATAGAAACTCCTCTGGGTAGGGTGGGCAATTGCTTCCCCCTCAGGCAAAAGCTGCTTGGAATTTAAATATCTGCCTGAGAAAGATGTCCTCTGCGGTATGGGGAAATGACTCAGCACAGGAGTCCAGAGGGTTGCCCTCTGAGCTCTATCTCCAGAGCCCACAACCCTAGATTATCCTCGAACAGTTCCAGTCCACTCCTCCCTCTTCTGGAGCCCAAGGTGAATGGCTACATACAAAACTGTGTGTTGGCTCTTTAAGAGGGTGCCTGCATTTCCAGCCATCTCTCCCTGGCAGACAGAAACCCAGCTGCTTTTCACAGCCCGATGTTATGTGGGCACCTTTGTCAGTTCTGGTGCTCTTGGCTGGGAAGCGGGGGTTAGGCCCCAGAGTCCTCAGTGGGAACCCCCTACAGCTGAGATATCCCTCCAGACCTTCAGCTGCTGCCTGTGGAAGCCCAGCCAGCCCTCTTG